CCTTGGTTCTGTTTACACAGTGCTGCCTGGAAAAGTTCAAGTTGAACAACGCTTCCTCTTGATGGGTGCCCAACTGCCACACCCAGAACAGCTGCAGACAAGAGCAGAGCTTGCCGTGGAACTGGTAAACGAGCGGAATCGAAACCCTAACACACGTCTTCAAAGAACCCTCACAGGAGATGAACCGTGGCTTTACCAGGTCAGTCCTGAAGACGAAGCCCAATCAAAGGCGTGGCGTCCAAGAGGTGGCTGCGGGCCAGTCACAGCGAACGCAGACCTCGAGAACACAGGTCACAAGCAACTGGGGATGCTCAAGGCTTGTGGACTTTCTGGAGGGCCAAAAAAAAGCAGTAACATCTGCTCGTTGAAAGGGTGTTTTGAGAAAACCAGCCAATGCGTTAGCAGAAAACGCCTGGGAAAGCTTCGCCAGAGTCCTTCTCCACCATGACAACACTCTGCTCGTCTGTCTCCTCACGCGAGGGAAACTGTGCTCAAGTTTCCGTAGGAAGTCCCCGGCATCTAACTTACAGTCCTGCTCCGGCTCCTTCTGACTCCCCTTTGTCTTCTGTCTTAAAAAGCCCTGGAGGAAACCCATTTCCCTTCCAATAACGATGTGAAAAAGACTGCAGGGACTTCGCTAACTTCCCAAGATCCTCTGGGCTTTAGGAATGGGATAAAGTGCTGGCACCATTGCTTGCAAAATCGTTTTGAAATTGATGGTGCTTATGTTGAGAAATAAAGGTCATATGTTTTCATGTATATCTTTTCATTCTATTTTTTCTACAAACTTTTTGAAGTCCCTTCAGCTGTCCTTTCAAGGGCCCCTGGTGGTGTAATTGGTTAAGCTTTGGGTTGCTAACTATAAGGTTGGCAGGTCAAGCCTACCAGCCATTCCCTGGGGAAAAGGTGAGGCAGTCTGAGTCTGCAGAGATTGACAGTAATATTCCCCTATGGAACAGTTCTCCTTGGTTGTATAGGGGGCTGTGATTCAGAATTGACTTGACAGTAGTGGGTTTGTTTAGGGTTTTGTTTTGTTTTGTGTGTGTGTGTGTGTGCCCTACATTGGGATAAAGTATTTTCAGCAGTTAAAGATGACATAGGCCCAAAACATCCAGGGAAGGGTTGTTGTTGT